CGTTCCTTCTTTCCCTGATGGAGATTGGTCATCCACCCTAACAGTCATCTGCAGCTCTTTGCTGATCTCTGGTGTTTTTATCCTCCTGTCCCTGTCAGGAGCTTCTGAATTGCCTGGGGAAGTTTCCATGGTAGGCATGGAAACTGTGACGACAGTGGTTCGGAGAGGGGGTGCCAAGAGGCACCAGGCTGGTAGCTCTACATCATCACCTTGGTTGTGACTGGATACTCAGGGAGGTGTGGGCATGCAGGGGGGCAGTGATAAAGCAGCACTTTTGGGGCCTCATATTATGGAAAAAATAGAAATATATTACAGACTCATTCTGATTTTCTGAGAATTCGACAAATTCTGTGGGCAGGAAACTTATTTCAAAAATGATTCCCTTTAGCTTGAAAGAGAAAAGGAAAATTAACATATATAAGAAGGGTCCATAAGGTTCACAAAGTTTCTCAAACATACAGGCATTTTAAGTGGAAATTACTGTTTTAATAATAGTATTTCCCTCAGATTTTCATTCAAAACTCAAACATCAGAGGACCTGATTAATCTGATACAAAAATTTAGAGGAAAACTTTTAAAAGGGTATGCTGTGGGTTTTTTTTGGTTTGTTTTTCTGGTGATATTTAGTCAAAACAACAAAGCCCTTTGGGGGGAAAAAAAAGATTTTAACATTAAGAGGAGGAATTTTACCAAATAATCTTACTTACTAAGCTAATGGTTATCTACAATGTTTCTCCCTTTTCCTTAATGTATACAGGAAGCCAAAGTGAGACTCGCGTCAATGTCAGTGTGCAGCCACGCCTCCCCTTCCTCTTTCTTTGCACCAGTCCCCATGCCCAAACTCCAAGCCCTAAAAAAGTGGATGGATAGGTCAGGCTTTTAATAGGTGTTTGAATCATTCAGTTTTATGTTTTATAGCATTTCTTAGAGTACTTATTTCTTGAAAGTAATGCTCCATGTATGTTGCTATACATGGTGTGTGTGTGTGTGTGTGTGTGTGTGTGTGTGTGTGTGTACCCTAATAGGCTTGTGAACTTGATAAAATCGTGAACTTAAAAAATCTGCTTGACAGATTTCACCATTAAGGTGTGGCTAATAAGCAAAAGTTAGTATTAAAAAGAAACAAACTATAATTCAGTGTTTCCTTTGTTTTTTGTTTATATATTTGCTTTAAAAATAGAACTTTCCCTAAAAAGAATTTAAATTGAGTACAAGGGCATAGGATGTGTGTATTTCTGTGACAAATTCAAACACGGTTTTCTGGATCTTGGAGTTCTTTAAATTTTGAAGCTTAGAAATTGACTGATAAGTCAAAACATAATTTTTGTTTGTTTGTTTGTCTTTGTTTTGGTGGCTGGGATCTAAACTTTACCTTAGTGTTATAACACCACTGCTCTAACCAACTGAGATAACCAGCCCACCCCATAATATGTTTTAAACTGCCCTCTCTCTAATAGGGGTGAATTTCCTTGGAAAATATATCAGAAATCTCCAGAATCACCAAAACAAGATTCATCTCTCTGACCCTGTAGAAGTTCAGGCCTGGGCAGCCAGTGGTCCTAGTACCCCTTAAATTGCAACTAAAGTTGTTGCTGATTGTTTTTTATCTCTTTCCAGCATCCATTTCTTTTTCTTGACTGTTTAAATTTCCCTCTATTTTCTTCTTCCTTTAAAAGGTGTTTATTCTTCAGTAAATATATCAGTAGCTACTAAACGAGGTAGTTAGATGGAGGTAATTGGATTGCCCTGTGAATATATTCAGGGAATTGTGTGTTAAGTATTTAGTAGACTAAGAATGTGTGATTCTTCGAGTATTTTTTTAAGGTATGCTTCTGAAACATTCAGCTTGTTCTTTTCTGTTCCTGGAGCCAGTATACATAAAAGTCAGTGATCCCATGCTGTTAGGGAATGCAAGATGCTCCTCGGCTCTGCTGTCTGCTTTTTAACTAACCTGTTTCATTTTTATTCAGTAAATCACCTTTTTCAAATACTAGTTCCTGTGCTAGGAACTAAGGTTACAGGGAAAATATTCGACACCACCCCCACCCCCTTCAAGGAATGGGCTCGCAAATTCCTATCAGTTGACTCAACCCTTGGACCCCATTAGTCTTTAGTCTTACCTCAAGTCTATGCCTCTTTGCTCCAGTGATTTAAAAATGACTTGTGCTCATTTTTCATATTAGATTTTTAAAAATATTTCTCTTACCTGTTTACTTTTATAATAATTAAGACAACTTCTCTGCCCCTTTTTATTATTGTATCTAGATTTATAGCCTTTTTTTGTTTGTTTTTATTTTTAAATTTATTTTTGGCAGCTGGTTGGTACAGAGATTGAACCCTGGACCTTGGTGTTATCAACACCACGCCCTAACCAACTGAGCTAACCGGCCAGCCCTAGATCTACAACCTTATGATGAAACTCATGCTTGGAGAATCTTCCATGCATCAACCTAGTTAGCTTCATTGCCCTTATTCCAGCAAATCGTTGCTTAAAACAAAGCTGTTTGTGTTGGTGGTGGTGCCATATAATTTGTAGTCTATAGACTATTGGACAGTTGGATTGACACACTCTTCCCTTCCCTACCACTGCAATGGGGAGATCATTTAGAAGACTGAGTTCAGTTGAAACCTAGGGCCTAAATTATCTACTGCAAATTAATTCAAAAAAAAAAAAAAGACAGCTAGACTTTACTGTGAAAGATGATTGGCATGCATTTAAATCATTGTATATATATATATTGGCATATTGTCAGTAATGAAAGAAAGTTTCATATTATAGATCTATTCTGTGGCGTTACTAGCACATTGTGAATTTCTGACAAACGCAAAGCAGTGAAAGGGCTTGAGCTCAAAATACAAATCTTCTAAATTTTCAAATTTCCATTTTCTTCGTTTATAAGGACCAGGCATATCGATGGCAAGTCATTATCATCTTGCTGGGAATTTACAACACACTAAGTGAGAACTTGCAGGCACTTGTAAAGGGAAGTCACTGAGGCCCTATGTCTTTAGCTGTCTATTTTGGAGAGTGTGTATATGTGTGTGTAAGAAGGGTAGTGGTGAGGGGGTCATGAAAACCTTTGGGTGAGAATAGGAGTGTGGGGTCATTACATATGTGAGAAAACCTTTGCTCTTCAGTTAATTATACAAAATAAGAGCCTTCTTGGGAAACTGGGCTTCATTAATTCCAAGGTATGCTTTATGAAATTCTTTATTTCTCATATTTAAGATTAACATATGCCTAAGAAAATGTTGGGGCATTAGGCCTTGCCTGATTGCTATTACTCTAAATGGAGAAAATATAAGTCCTGAATGTTTCCCCCTAGGATAAGTATAGGAAAAAATTGTCCCAACAAGAATTTAATTCAGCCCACCCACCAGCCACTTCTTTTCCATCTTGGAGGAGGAATACAAAGCTGCATAGGCTCCATTTTTAATAACAAAGTTCAGGACTAGAAAGTAAAATCACTTGTTAAAATTACAGTATGACAGCATACATCTTTGACTTCTATTTTCAGCCTTCCCCCCTACTTGTGTTAAGTCTTAAAAATTGCAGGTAACAAATTGTCAGATGGCAGGGTTGTGTATCTGTTTTGATTCTTTGTTGCAATTAGCAGAAACCAACTCTTGTTAACTTAGGCAGAAGGGACTTTACTGGAGGGATGTTAGGAATTCACAGAATTGATGGGAAGACCAAAGAACGAGGCTTGGAATAGATAGGATACAAGGCAACTCTGGCAGTCCAGGAACCAGGAACTACCAGAAGGTATTTGTGCTAATTGCTGTTGGCGCAGGAATATGGTGTACCAACCATTTTCAGACTGCTGTGCCCATATTCACAGGGAGATCCCAGAAAAGTAGCATCTAATTGGCATAGCTTGGATCATGTGACCACACCTTCATAAAGGGAAAATGGGGTGCTGATTACAGTCCCACCAGGCTTAATACAAGAAAGATCATTCTCCAAAGGGAAATTAGGATGAATTTATTGGGAGGAAGTTATGCAAAACAGCCAAAAGCAACAAATGGCCACCATAGCATAGTGGAAGGGATTGAATGACAGAGGAAGGCCAATACTACTTTTCCTTTGGTAAATGAGCGTTAGAAAAATGTGATCATGCGCATTGGCTGTGAGGTACATATGTCTGTCAGTCTCTGTCTCTCTGTAACCTCACCCCCATTTCTCTCTCTCTTGATTTGGGGCCTAGAATGGCAATCCTGTTGTGATGTTGATTTGTATACTTGCAGGATACTACGTATGTGTGCCAGAGGTGCTGGTGGTAAAGCTTTGATCAGATTTGAGAAATTAGAGTTTTTAAAGCCCTTCTCCTTAACTGCTTCAGTGTTTACCCTATTTACCCTATGGTACAATTTACTAGTTGTTAACCTGCTTTATTCATAACTGCTCAGTTTTTGAGAATTTTACATTTCAAATACATTTGCCAGTAGCCATACTTTGACCTTTTGGACTAATTTGGATAAATAAATTCATCTCTCAGTCTAATTTTAGTTGCTTGTTATGGATTATGTATGTAGCACACATAGTTAACTATATGAATTATGCTTAATGATTAAAGCTATAACTTTAAGGAATACTAAGTTAACCTCCCTAGCCTTGTTATTGGCGAAATGACAGTGGAATCCTATACCTTGCTCTGATTTTCCCTCTTTTAAAATGAGAGTGCAATCTTTCAGAAAGAAATGGATTTTAATATCCTGGAATTTATGAACAGTGTGTATATTTTTGCCTATCTCTGAACATTTAACATTGATAGTGTACCTCCTGGGTGTAAGAAAAAAATGATTAAATGTAATTTTTATCAAATTAATTTTAAATGATGATTTAGTGACACCTCTATTTAAGTCCTTATAAAGCTCTAAATTTCAGAAACTTCCGTCATCACTTTAACCATTAGTCTAATGCTGAACAAAAACTCTGGACATTTTGATTGTCACTTGGAGGTGTTGTGGAAAGTTGACCTACTGTGTTTCTCTTTCAGCATCCAGTGCTTGATGAGCCAATAGCTGAAGCTGTCTGTATTATTGCAGACACGGATAAGTGGAGTGTCCAGGTAGCCACCAGTCAGAGGAAAGTGATGGATAACATGAAACTAGGCCAGGATGTTTTGGTGTCTAGTCAGGTGTCCAGTTTACTTCAGTCCATTTTACAGCTTTACAAGCTTCACCTCCCTGCTGATTTTGTAAGTATTTATTCTCATATATAGTTTAAAAATGCTTTTAACAACATTTTGATTATGAAATCACAAATTCAAATGTGTTATTTTTAATATAATTGTAGGTTAACATAAGTAAAAATAGAACATGCAACATAAAACCAGCAAACAGCATAGATTTTGGTAACAGTAGCCCTTCCATGAAACAACATAGAGTGGCACTGAAATCTTTTTGAACAAGGTATATGGTAAAGTAAATAAGGTATGGGGAGGGATCGAGCATAAAAGGAAATTTTAAATTCTCCATTGGAGAACTCATTAGTTCTCCTTTTATTAGATATTGAGCAGGCCAGTTTTTGAAGGGATTGTAGTTCCTTTTTTTCAGTGACTGTCTTCACAAAGGTGTTAAGGATAAAACAGAATATTGTTGTGTAAACACTTCAAATTTTAAAGTGTTGTATATGTTGTACATATGTAAGATGGTACCAATTTTTCCTTTTCAAATGGGCTTTTTTTTTTTTTTTTTTTTTTTTGCAGCTGGCCAGCACAGAGATCAAACTCTAGACCTTGGTGTTATTAGCACCACATCTAACCAACTGAGCTAACTGGCCAGCCCCATCAAATGGAATTTTAAAAACACTTTCATAACATTATTTTAAATACAGGCAACAAACAGAGACTATAAACTCCTAGAAAATTATCAGCAGCTCTCCCCTAGCCACTGGAAATAATATACACAACAAATTCTTTTCTGTGTGTGTGTATGTGTGTGTGTGTGTGTGTGTGCACGCGCACACACACACATGCTCAGAGAGATTGAGTGAAAGAGAAAATACACTTAGAGGGAGAAAGGTTTCAAAGGTAGAAGAGAAGTTTAAGGGCAGATTGCTAGGAAAACTTAGATGAGCTGACCTTAGGGATACATGCTTAGCTGAAAGAGTCTGCTTTCTCTACTCTTTCCTCCCTTCTGCACAGTGTTGCTCTCTGCAGCATAGCCCCAAACCAGAACATCTGTTATCTCCTTCCTGGCCTCTGAAAGTGATACAGACCTATTTAACAACAAACTGCACTAATTGCTCATGAAGTGGTTGCTTTCCTGGGTTCTTATGACCAAATCTATAATTGCACCACATTCCTCAGAAATAGTTGAGACTTTGGTGGCTTTGAAAGAGGTGCTCTGAAATATTGTCTGGTTGTTGTCAAAGAAGTAGCAATGTGGTATGGCAGGAAGACCACTGAACGTAATTGAGTTAAAGTCAAGGTTTGGCCATTGGTTAATTGTGTGACAGTGGACAATCCTAAGTGTGTGTCTGAACCTAGCTTTCTCATTTATAAAATGAAGATAGTAACTATTCAACAAGTGTGTTGTGAGAATCCTCTCAAAATTAGTAAATGTACTGCTTTTTAAACTGTCAAAGCACCATGCCAATATAAGATACTTTAAAAGCCAGTATACATCCATGGCCAATGCAGGAGCTTTGGAGTTCAGTAGCGTGGAGTCAGATCCAAATTCTCCTGCTTACTGACTGTGTGACCTCTCAAAGCCTCAATTTCCTTATGTGCAAAGCTGGAGAAATAAAGGAACCCATCTCATATGGTTATGAAAATTAGAGAACTAATGTAAAGCACTTGGAATAGTGTTAGATGTTATACACATTCAGTAAACGGCTGCTGTTAGTATGGCAGTTAATAACAGTTTCATGGAACAATATTAATGGTTATAAACAGTGACAACACCTTTTTGCTAACACCTTTATTTGGGCTTTAAACTGAACGATACTTTTGCAGGACATCTGCCCCAGGGGTAATATGAGAAGTACCTATGGGTTATTATGACCTTATTTTTTGTTCTACATTTGTAGGCAGTTTTTCTTTCTATAAGCAGATTGGATTATACCGATTTTGAGGCTGACATCTCCTTTTCTGTAAGGGAAGGAAAATATATTAGACTTCATAGTTTTTTTTACTGCTCTAAGTATGTACCAAACTTTTATATTTCATTCTGTAATACGTAGCTTTTGTTACATTTGACATCTTAGTTATCAAAGCAATAAGTTGCTATAGCTAATTCTCTTTACTTCATTTGAATGGAAGTATGTTTAACCACTTAATAGTATGAATGACTTATTTAACCTGACAAAAGCAAGATCAAAGAAGAATCTTATCTGCTGTTTAAAATCCTCCTTAAAAATCAATTGAATGAAACACGTGATTAAATGACTATTAGAGTCTTCAGTACGAAAGGAGAAAGTAGCTATTTAAAATTTCAGAGTTAAAAATTGAAGAAATCCATCTCAGGAATAAAATCCTAGCAAGAGAAGGAAAAAAACACCAACACAGTTCTGTTTAATAAACAAGAATTTTTTAAAATTTCTAAATGCTTTGATTTCACATTTAGTATACATTCCATATAGACCAGAGTTCTCTTTATTTCCACATTGCATCATAAGTTTTCATGCAGACTGTGAAAACACTGCAAATTAACTATTTTTTAAAATAAAATATCTTTTAAAATAAGGGAATCAATGTAATATGAATGTTCTTTTTAATATTTTAGAACACTCTTATTAAAAACTTTGTATTTCACTCTGTAAAGAACTGCAACTTAATAGGAGATCTTTTCACCACTTTACTCTGTTGACTCAGGGAAACATTTCCATGAGAATTGGTAAAATCCTCCTCGCTTTCATTATTAGTCTTAGTCAGTTAGTTGTTTCATCCACCCGACACAATGCATTTAAGATTTTAAACCAATGAGAAACTGAAAAGATTGCATCTCTAATAGATACTTTTTCCATGTCACTGATCGGCCCAGATGGTCAAAATCAACATTTTCAAATGCATCTGTTAATCTTTTTTACCTTGAAAATAACAGGCCTAATGGTCTAGAAGAAAATTATGTATGATGGAATTACCCTTGCCAAAGCCATCAGGTGTCTTACTGAAGATGCTTGGATAGCTCTGCCTGCCAAATGCAAAAGCATTTGCCTTTGGTGAAAGACACAGATGGTTGCTATTCTCTAAAAAATGAAGCTGGACACAATTCCAAGGGTAAAGATGTCTTGAAAATAATTGCCTTTTCTTTATTTTATTAAAGACCTAGTTAAAATACAATCTCAAAAGCAAAAAAAAAAAAAAAGTTTAAAATGACTTTGTTCCATTCAGGGAATGTACTGGGCTAAAATAATCTGAGATGAAGGAAAAATACAATAAAAAAGATGTTCATGACAAAATTATTTATAACAACAAAAAAATGCAAATTGCTATGTGGTTAAGTAAATAATAGTAAATTCACATTCTCAAGAACTATTTAACCATAAAAATTACATCGACAAAGAATTCTTAATAACATGGGAAAGGATTATAAAATTTTTTAAAAGCAGGAAATAATTGTATTTACAGAATGATTTCAACTATGTAAGAACTGCCTTTTTAAGACTAGAATGATGTATATATGAAAAATCTTAACAGTTGTTAGAAAAAGTAAACCTTATTGTTTTACAAAACCTTATATCTACGAGAGACAAGGATTGAGATGGTTTGTAATTTAAGTGTGTTTAAAATGGATGAGACTATATAGCCACGTATTTAGAAAGTCAGAGAATTCTAACTTTTAAAATATTGGCAGAGATTTGATTTCTAGCTCTCATTATGAATGTTATTGGCTTCACAGTGCATCATGCATCTTGAAGATAGACTACAGGAGATGTACCTTAAAAGTAAAATGCTGTCTGAATATCTTCGGGGACACACACGAGTCCACGTGAAAGAATTAGGTGTTGTACTGGGGTGAGTTCTGTGAAGTGCCACCACTTCTTCCTGTGATGAGCTGTCCCTAGCATTGTACCTACTGACCTGTTTAGCTTGGGCCACCCTAAACCTGCAGGCCCTGGTAATCCATCGGGAGTGTTTGGGGTCCATGAGATGTGGGTCCCTACAGCTCCCCAATGAACACCATGTTCCTTGTACGTGATACTGAGTTTCACACCTGGAAACAATTGCAGAACTTTAGGCTAGTGGCACTTTGTGTCAGTCTTACCCCTGGATTGATTTTATGCATAAAGGGAAAAATTTATGCCATTCTGTCTGCCCATTTCTGGTAATTCCATAAGATGCCAAAGTCACAGGCAGTTAGACATGCAGCAACAGCAGCAGCTTGTGTTTACATTTCATTTCCTGGAGGAGCAGCGAAACCTGGCACAGGAAAGGCCCTTCTCTTGGACTTCAAGGAGCCTGGCCTGCATGTCCATGGGGTGACTATATTTTCCTCCAGATAGGAGACTTGCTTATGTTACTGACAATGTATATCATCTTCCAGAGGATATTTGCCATAATTTCTCCGGGGAAAGGAATTCTCACTTTTGTTTTCCTCTCTACTTAATTTTTCAGGAGAGGACTAACAAAAAGACATTATATATGTGGGGAATTGTTCCCCTTATCCATGATGATGATTCCCATGACTGGAGGCAGGAAAATATTCTGTTTATAATGTTGACCTTTAAATTCTGTATTAAGCCTGCTAATCAAAGTATTATTTTAAGACTCAGGCCTCGGCATTCTCATCAGACTTTTTATCTTTCACACCTAGGATGTGACTGACAGTATTGTTTGGCCCTTAGCATTTCCTGTCATAAATTTGTTTTACTTACTTCATTTAAAAAATATTTTCCCCTTTTGATGTGTTTGCTTTAGCAGTTAACTTGCAATATATTTTTGTCACTTTTTTTCTTAGTTTTTTGTTTACATCTGTTTAGTAGCTTCAAACTTTCTCATTAGGTTTCTCATTGCCAGATATGTAACTTATATTTCTAGGACTTTTACCTAGTCCCTGGCTCTGACAGGTGTCCACTGTCAACCCTGTTATAAGGAGCGTAAGAATTTATTTCCCTGTAGTACTCATCTCTAGGTCCTCATAGTATGGTATTAGTGGAGTCACGTTCATCCTCTCTTCATCCCCTTCCTCCCATAGTCAGGCCCAGGTGCACTAAAAGTACTAGAGAACTTCTTATATGCCCTGAAATTAGGTCTGTAATACTACTGAAGAAGCAATAGAAAATTTCATGAAGTAATAACAGCAACCATTTTTTATTCTTATTTTTTGGAATTCAAGGGAAAGAATTAGGGCATATTCCACAGACTGAAACAGTCCCCCCAAACTTTTTTACAACACCTGGCAGCATTTAGCTGTTGACCATTCTATATCCACCTCTGCTTTGAGAGGCAGCCAAGGCTGTGTCCATTTGAAACTGTGATGTCTCTTAATACAGTATTTTTTAGTGTCACTTTGCTCTCAGAATATTGTGGTTCAAATGCTTAGCAAGGATGTAAGTCATATTACCTGTTGAACAAATCCTCAAAGTTTTTGAAGAAATTACTACCATCATCATTTTCCTAAGACTGATTTGAATCTGGGTACAAAATCGGTGTGCATTCGGCATTGTCGACTGGAGGAATGAGGCGATAATGGAGAAAACCTTAAAGTATGATGTAATGAAGTTGTACAGAGAATACAGAAAAGTTGTAGACTGAAAGTTGGGTGGCCCCTATTGTGGGAAGAACATTCTATGTCCACACATATGCTCAGCACACCTTCTGCACCTGTCTCCCTTTGCCTCCATGGGCAGTGTCTACTGGGAAATTTTACTGAAAGCCTAAGTTTATTATCTTTCCATCTATTTTACTTTTTCATTAGTTTTAAACGATGATCTAACAAGCTTCGTACCTAGAAATAATACTTCCCTATAAAATCATGCTATTCTAAAGTAATATTCTTTTTCTTTCTTTCAATATTCAGGATTGAATCTAACGACCTTCCTCTGTTGACTGCTGTTGCCAGTACCCATTCTCCTCACGTGGCTCAGATACTCTTATAAGCTAAAGCTCAGGACAGTTCTTCCTTGGAAGAAAAAAAATCAAATTCTCAACTGAAGGAGAAAGGAATAAGCTTTGTAAGATCAGTATAAGAGCAGCAGTCATTCCACCGTTTCGTGTTTTTGTTTTTAAGCAGATGCTTCATTGGAAGACTTAGGTTTATTTGACATAATGGCATTTCTGTTTTTCATGAACGCTCTAGACCTTGTGTTACCCATGAATCAATGGAGAGTGAGCTTTCTGGTAGAAGGAAACATAAGCACTACACTAAACACTAAGCTGCTGGTACCGATTGCCTTGTGCTGTTTGGGCAGAATAATGACGAGTGACTCTGGAGCAGAGAGGTAAACAATGTACATAACATTCCAGTAGAAAAATGTTTCAGAGTTTAAGCGTGAGCTCTCCAAACTGGAGAAAGCATATTCTGCTATTCTAAGAAGACAGTCAGAACAACGACTTTGGATTCCAGATCGGAGTTTGCTTTTTACAAACAAAGCCACATTGTGCCATCTTCAGCTCTGGTGGCTGTAACAGTTACTGTTGGACAAAAGAAATTAGGAAAGAGATTTGCCTGTTGGGAAGAGAGAGTGCTTTAGGGACCCACTGTTTTCATTTCTTCTTGGAGTTTACTTTGTTTCAGCTGCAGCCACAACTAGGTCAGAGATGGATCGTTGGTGCAATAAACCCAAGAATCTATGTAGCATCTTAACCCCATCAAGATGTAGTTTGTAGCAGCAAAGTGTGTACAGCCTGATATCATATATTTTATCCTTGTTAATACTTTAGAGCTTTCAGCAGCCTCTTAAAGAGAGGCCATTTACCAAAGTTTTTCTATAAGCTCGAGTGTGTTTCTGTTGGTAAATTCTTCCAGCCGAAGCTACTTTCTTCCTATCATAGTTATTACAAATGACTGTACTTTAAAAGGCACAGCTGTCCTGGTGGGAAATGAAACCTGCAACAGTTCAGGATGACTAATGAAAGTAATTTGTTTGAACATTTAGCAACAATCCGTAAGAGATCTAATCTTTTACATTATCATCTCTGTTCCTTCTAATTTCTATGTTCTTTTCAAAACATCTTTCAGAAATTAATTTACCCATCAAATAAAACCTAGCAAAATGAAGAATTATTAGCCCAGTTCACTTAAAAAACAAAACAAAAAGAAACTTTAATTTTCTGTTTATAAAAGAAACTTAGTTTACTGACAATGAAACAGACTATGTACTAACATCCAGGGTGAAGTAAAATAATTTTTAAAGCAATTGATCATTAAAATACAGGAGCTAATATAGAAAAGCAAAACATTAGCGCTTTGCAGATCTTGAGTTTAATTAATTATAACCAGGCTCTGATTTCCTTTCACTGTTACATGAATTCTAGTCTTTTCCATGTATCCTTTGTACCTAAGAATATGAAGTAACCTCCCCTTTAGGTTTTAGAATGACTTCAAATTTTCTAGTTGATAAAATCCTGATCCTAAATACCAAGTTACGTAAGTTCATCTCTTTATTCTTTTACAAATGCAGGTTATTTGTTTGAAAGAGTGTACCAGCAGTACCAATGGAGAAAAATCAGTGTATTATTTCTTAGGAATAGGTCAGAGCTGCTATCTTTCCCTTTCTTTTTTTTAATGACATAAATCACAGATGGGTACATGAAGGCCCTTAAGATCTTTAGTTTTCATTTGATGTCCTTCATAAAATTGAAGTTTTTCATTCTTTTTAATACTTTTCTATTTCCTTTTGCCTAACATTCGAGTTTGGTGTTTTAAATTATCTAGTTCCATGACATCATTGTTTGCTATTATGTTACAGAAAGAACGAACCTCACCCGTGGCTCAGCTCACTCAGCATTCGTTTTTCATTACGTTTGAATAAATTGTCATAGCTGATGTTACAGCATTTTCATCTGCACTAGTTTAAAGCATTCCCCTCATCTCCAGTTCTCTTTTCTTTGTTTACACATTTTGGGCACTTTCCCTCATTCACCACCTTCCAGGATTTCGTAGAAAATAACTTGATACAAAATCAATTCAGTTCTAATATGTATATAGTGGCATGTTGAAAATTAGACCCACATAGGAGAAATTAAGCTTTTTTTTTTTTTAACTGTATTTAAAGTCTTAAGGAAATTAAGCTTTAAACGGCTGATTCTAAACTCCATACATAAAAAATTTAGCCCGGCCCCCTCAAAGCCGGAGAAAATTTAATTTGCTTCAATCTGATGTCCACAACTCTCTCTCCAAAAATGTGTTGGAAGACGACAGGTGGGTCATATGTGGGGGTTGTCTCAGCGACGCTCAGGATTCCAGTGAGAGCCTAATCCTCATATCTATTGCCTACAAAAACAGACCACGAATGTTGCTGCTCTTTTATAATCCTTCTTTAAATATTTAACACTCAAGTTTTTTTTGTCTTAAATTCTCACAGAATTGTGTTGAGATACACCCACTGACACATCACGCACCACCCAGTGGCTTCATTCTGTCTTAGCCGGAGAGGCAAGAAAGGGGTCCCACCCTCTCCCATGCCCACCTCAAGAAAAAAGTAAATACTTAAAAAACAAAGAAATCTACCTCAGTTGACAGGATTCCACCTTTAGGGTTTCTTCAACTTTTAAGTCTTACCTGTTGAGTGTAACTTTTGTAGCATCTTGCATTTTTAAGCAAGCTAGTGAGGCATGACAGAGCAGCAGTGTGTCGATGTTACTGTGATGGACCTCTTTCTAGCATGTTGCAGTTTTATTTTTAATAAATTGATAAGTGATATGAATGTAAAGATAGTTGTGTATGTTCGAAACATGACAATGAAAATTTTAAATGTAGCTTCCATACTTGTGCATAATTCCAAAGTATTTTATTTTTATCAGTGTTAAATAGCTTTTTGTACAGGCTTCAATCCATTTTTCTGAAGTGTGCTGTTTTTTAATGAAAGTAACTATAATCTTTTCACATCCCATGGAACTGCCGTTTACACATTGCAACTTTTTAAACTTACCATATTTTTCAAAATTAACATTTTTGGAGGGAGTAAAATCCCCACTTGCTAGATAATACTAAACTATTGTTTGGGCTCTTATAATTAGGTCCTGAGATTTTATAAAAATTTACTCTGTAGCTTTTTAGGTTCTTCACTAGAGTTGGTTGTACATAAAAATAAAGAATATAAAATGACCCCAAAAGTCCTTTAAATGTCTGGATTTTTCCACTAATATGTACTTTTGAGAGTATTTTGTTCATGTATACTTTCACCATTAAATTGAAAAAGTCTTTAGCTTCTCTTGGTAAATGTGAGCCATTTGTTTTTTACTGTACTTTGGGGGAGAGGATATTTTAATATAATTTTTGCCTAAATCAAGCAGCCCCCTCTGAATGTTAATTTTTAAATATCAAAATTTGGTGAACCATATATCTTGGAAATGAGCTTGCAATATGCTTAAATTTAAGTGTTTTAAAAAGGAGAAAATTCTGGGATTTGTATTATTGAAACTCCATTAAGAAAAAATGGTAAGATTTTATATTTTTGATCAGTCGAATAGATACCAATGTCAATGTGTGAAAAATTTTTCTTAAAATTTATTCATGTATTATTTTGATCCATGTTTCTGTGGCATTTGGTGCAATAAACCTTTTGACTTTATCTTGAACATATTTCTGGTGCTGCACATGATTTGTTTGTTACATTTAATCAAATACAGTAGTCTCATTTTCAATAATTCATGCTGAAACAAGTTCATTATATGAAGCCCAGAGCAGGTCTAGTAGCATATAGAGGGTGGGGACTGGGGATGATAGAGAACTGTCGTGCAGTCTGTGGGACAACCCCAGTTAATGAGGATTGTCCCACCTCTTGTGTGACATTAAAATATTCTTGTGGGCTGGCCCAGTGGCGCACTGGAGAGTGCGCCACTTGGGAGCACGGCGGTGCTCCCGCCGAGGGTTCGGATCCCATGTGGAGACTGGTTCCTGCTCACTGGCTGAGCGCGGTGCGGGTGCAACACCGAGGGTTGCGATCCCATTGCTGGTCCCCGGTACGGGCGCGACACCAAGGGTTGCAATCCCGTTACCGGTCAGTAAAAAAGACAAAAAAAGGAAAAAATATATATATATTCTTCTGACCCAGCCACAACTAGGCAAGCTGTTGCCACCACACCAGGGCCCCACCAGGGACCTGAGGCATGGAGCTAGGGAAAGCTGAACCCAGATGCAACCAGGTAAAGAGCACACCAAAAACACCATTTTCACACAGGGAGCCCTCCATAGCCACCACAATTGCCATGGCTGCCCCCAAAGCAGCTAATCTCTATAGTAGCAGTCACAGCCACCAATGCAGATGGCACGTCGGACTCTCAACTTCATTGACACAAGGAGAGGCACCAGCGGAAACCAGAAAGAAGAGGTCCTCTCTCTCCGCAAAGCACACTCCGGATTAATAGAAGAAGCATCTGATTTATGATAATAGGGGAGGACTTGACCACACCTGTCTCAGTACTGCATAGATCATCTAAGCAACAAACCAATTAATCTATCAGAGGGAGAGAACAAATCTATGGTTATTAGAGAGGAGGGGGAGGAGGGGTGACGGAGGAGGAAGGGGAGAGATTGGATAAGGGGCATAAAGACAAGTATGATTTGTAACAATGAATATGCTAATAAAAAATATATTCTTCTGGACACTCATGTATGTGAGTGAAAAGCCTGTTTATAATTATCTAAGCTGAGAGTTCAATTCTGCTTTGTATAAAAGCACAGTGTATTTTTTATATGACTTTAGCATATGCTGAATTTTCCACAAATGCAAGTGTTGTGTAAATTGAGGGAAGATTTTAGTTTGTAAGTTTCAGAATTTTAATGAGAATTGGTCACTTGGTCTTTACCAAGAATCGTGCTTTTATGAAACTACATTACCAACTGCTCATGGAGTTTGAGTCACGAGTACAGTACATCTCCACCAGTCTTCATTCATAGCTGTTGCATTCGTGGAGGCTATACATAGATGCAAGCATCTGCCTACTTCATTATATTTTCTAATCTACTAGTGCCCCAATATTTATGTATTAAAGCATGTACTATAATTACTTTTTAAATAGTACATCT